GAGAGGGAACACAAGCAGGGGAAGTGAGAGAGGGAGAAGCAGGCCTCCCGTGGAGCAGGGAGCCCGATGCGGGGCTCGATCCCAGGACCCCAGGATCATGACCTGAGCCGAAGGCAGACGCTTAACGACTGAGCCACCCAGGCGCCCCCTTATACATGAATTTTTGCTCCCTTCCTCCAGGGACACAACACGGAGCTGTCTCCTGCCACTTTGGAGAAGAGACGGCGGAGAAAGCAGGAGCGGGACCGGAAAAAGAGGAAACGAAGGGAGTTGAGGGCAAAGGAGAAGGTGGCAAAGGCTACGGAGGCTGCCAAGCCACCCCATGAGCTGTCCCATGAGCAGCCCCACGAGGAGGTGCAGCCGGGGCTGCTCTTCAATAAGGTGAGGGGCGGACACAGCCATGGAGCGTGGGGACCCGGGCTCTACCCCTGGCTGGCTGTGTGACCTCTGGCCCACAACTGCCAATCTGCAGAGTGGGGTAGCGACCAGTGCCTGCCCACGGGGGTGCTTGTGAGCATTCGAGGGAAAGGCACCATAAAGCTGTAATTCACCTGGGTTGCAACCCTTACTTCTGAGGTGGAGGTGACCGAGGAGCAAGCAGCCAGCAAGGCCCAGCGCCGGAAGGAGAAGAGGCAGAAGCTGAAGGGGAACCTGGCGCCGCTGACGGGCAGGAACTACCGGCAGCTGCTGGAGCGCCTGCAGGCACGGCAGGCTCGGCTGGAAGAGCTGCGGGACCAGGATGAGGGGAAGGCACGGGAGCTGGAGAGCAAGATGCAGTGGACCAACCTGCTGTACAAGGCCGAGGGCGTGCGCATCCGTGACGACGAGCACCTGCTGCAGGAGGCCCTGAAGCGCAAGGAGAAGCGGCATGAGCAGCGGAAGCGCAGGTGGGAGAAGCGCACGGCCCAAGTGGTTGAGAAGATGCAGCAGCGGCAGGACAAGCGGCGGCAGAACCTGCGCAAGAAGAAGGTGGCCCGGGCTGAGCGACGCCTAGAGAAGGCCCGCAAGAAGGGCCGGATCCTGCCCCAGGACCTGGAGCGGGCTGGCCTGGCGTGAGGGCCTGTAGCCCGGGCGCCCAGACCTTGTCCCTGACCTGGGACTGCGCTCCCACCTCATGTGACCGCGGCCAGGAGCTCAGTCTTTGTGGTCTAGGCTCCTTGGAAGTGGTGGGGGGTTCCATGGGCTCACCCTGCAAGCTGGTTGTGAGGGCTCCGCTCCCATGTAAGAAAGAAAGGGAGCGCTGTTGAGAATGGAGAAATAGATCTTCAGAGCCTGGAAAGAGGTGACCGGGTCCAGGTTCCAGCCTTCTCTTGGGAGGCCGCAGAGCTCCCCAGAAGTTTGCAGGGTGAGGGATGTGTGGAGGGCGTGAAGGTTCTGGTGGGGGCACTTCACTGGCTCCTTCTTCTTCTCCTGGCTTGACAGGAGCCGGGAAAGAATGGCCTTTGGGACTATCCAGGTCAGTCTAAAACTCACCTGGAAAGAAGGAAACTCAAAACTGCTGTAGCCCAGTCCAAGGTGGCATTGGCCTCAGGTGACTGGCAGAGGGTGGAGCCAACCTTGGGTGTGACTGGGAGGGAGTTATCCTGAGTTGATTTGTAAGAGGAGCAAAAATTAGAGCTTAAGGTAAACACCCGCCTGAAAAGAGTTAAGATGCCTGCTGGAGGCTGCCTCAGGGGCTCAGTGATTCAAGCGCACCTGACTCTTGGTTTTGGCTCAGATCCTGATCTCAGGGTCTTCTGATGGAGCCCCACATCAGGCTCCACCCTTAGCGTGGAGTCTGCTTGAAATTCTGTCTTGCTTTCCCTCTGCTCTTCCCGCTCCTGCTGTTTCTCTAAAATAAATCTTTAGTGGAAAAAAAGAGATGCGGGTTGGAAGTTCAGCACAGTGTGCGCCATGCTGGGAGGAAGGGGGAGACGGGGTGGGCTGGAGGACGTCAGTCCAGGAGAAGGCAGGAGACAAGGAAGGCTAGAAGCTAGGACTCAGTGAGGCGATGGAAGATGCCCAGTGAGGGGGTGGAATTCCACGCACACCTGCGGGCAGGCAGACCCGCTGCAGACGCACAGGACCCCGGGGGGGATTTCATGGCTCCTGAGTAATAATTCAGTAAAGCCGTCAATAACTGTTTTGACTGAGTTCCAGTTAAGAAACACACTGTAACAGAAAGGCTGGCGTGGCTGTACCGGACAGAGTGGACCTGAGGATAAACAGCACTGCGGAGGGGAAAGTAGATCACTGCGGGATGGAGGGGCTCCGCGCCCCCTGCAGGCAGAGCGATTCTGACGCCCCCAGTGATGGAGCTGCAAGTCTCCCAGGGGAAATCTGCTCACAGACAAGAGCAGAGGATTTCTGGTGCCTCTCTTAGGCCTAGAAACACCCGGCAGAACTCCGGTGGATACGGAAGGTCTAGATGAGAGTTGATGAGCTTGTCTAAGGACACAGAGCGGTGTGTCTGGAAACAAGGTGCAGACTCTCCACCCGCATCTGGAGCAGCAACGAGAACTGACCGCCTGGTCCATGAAGCAAGGTTTCCGTTTCAAGGAATCGGTGTCCTACCAGGGGTGTTGTCTGGCCGCGGCATGATCTAGTTGTTAGAGTTGAGGCGTGATTGTAGAAGTTTCATATTCAGAAGTTTAAAAACATATTTCTGAGTTACCTGTGTGTCATTGTGGGAGATGGAGCCTAACTCCCAAGTGTCAGCACTGAAAATGCCCTGAATCACCCTCTCGGCCTCCCCAGGCCTGGCCAGTCACCCCCTCCTTGGCCCAGAGCTTCGGGGCTGCTGGTGTGCAGGGCAGGGCGGCACATGATGTGTTCTGGGGTAGGGGGGCAACACAAGCAGCTCATCCAGGGGCATTAGTGGACAATAGCACATGGACAATAGAGAAGAAAACATTTCCAGAACCAAATGGTGGTAGGCCCCAGTTTCAAAGGTACCCCCCGCTCGGGCAGAGGGAAGCGGATGAAGATTGCCCTAACCAGAACCCCTCCTGCACAGGAACTGGGGTTCCAACAGTCCCAAAGATCGTGGTAGTATGAAAAGTAATACAGGGAAAGTTCACTAAAACAGAGTCAGGAGGCCAGAAAGAGGAGCTCTTGTGCACTGTGTCACCCAGAGTCAGTTCCAGAAAGAACCATCACACACCCCAGCAGAAGTATCCTCCACAGGAGAGAATCAGGACTACAGACCCAACAGAAGGATGGACGCTTCATCTCCTGTGAGAAATCCACGACTCCAGCAACTCAGCCAGTGAGAAACTGCCCTCGCCCTGAACTCCTGCTCTTGCCCAGTGGACTTCGGTTCAGGACAGCCCCTTCTAACTTTCTCCTCATAAAATAACACTTCTTTCTTTGTTGGAGTTGTCTGTGGTTTTACTTAGCTTGTATGTCCCGAATTGCAATTCTCTGCTATTCCCGAATAAACCCATTTTGTTGGTCAAGTACCGGCGGTTTTAAGGTCAGCAGTAGTCTCCTTTTGGCCCTGGCTCTTTGGGTGGGGCTCAGAAGAAGGATCCCAGCCAGCCTTCCTTCGTGTTTGGGGCCCCAGGACTTGAACTAATGCATGTTTAGAAATTCAGTGAGGGGCTGTGACCAATCAGGTAGCTCAAGTGAGGCTTCTGTTCACCAGACCTGGGGTTGGGGGTCAGAGAGAGGGGTCTCCAGACCCCGGTGGGTCGTCTCATCCAGTTCACTGCACTAGTCTGGCAGGAAGTCACAGGAAGCTTGCATACATGGCCTGTGGAAATAACACTTTGCTGTGTGTTCTCTGCTCTTGGGTTGTGACACCTGTGTTGGCCCTGGGAGCTCAGTTATGGTCCCCTACCAGCGTTCCAGGTTCAGAGAAGAGCCATCGTGCTGCTTTTCCAGGATGTCTGAGCTCTGCATGTGGCAAAGGTGTGTCTTCTGGATCTGCCCCTGGCCATCTGTTGGTGGATGAGCAGGTAACATGGTAAGGCTCCTCCAACAAGCCTACCTCTCCATTGGGATTTCTTACCTTTCTGTTATTCCAGGGGATTTCCGGAAGCTTCACTTACTTTAGTGTGGACCTCAGTGACTCCGGGTTTTGTTTGGGCAACAGAGGAAATCACTGAATTCTTCCTAGTTCCCTAGCTGGCCCACTGAATCTTGACTCCAGATGCAAGCCAGTCTGACATTGCATCCCGCCTTCTGGCCAGGTACTTCCCGGATCAGTTCCCACATATTTCCTTGATAATTTTGGATATAGAGCAGCAAATGTTTGTTTACTTAGTTGAACCTTCCTACTTTGACCTTGTAATTGGGTACTTGGGGCCTGCTGGGGTCTGACTCTGCTTGTAGGTCTAGAGACAGGAAAGCGAGATGGCCGTGAGGATGAGGACGCTGGCTCCTCGCAGTTTTGCTGAGAACCTGAAACTGCTCTCAGTGGTAAAGTTTATCAGTTAGGAAAACAGGCAGACTAAAAACATTGGATCTGAAAGCTTTTGTCTGCAAGCACCACACGTTCTCACATTTCACTGGCCAAAACAAGTCACATAGCTGCACCTACCTTCATTGGGCACAGAAACGCAGCCTAGTCAGTGCCCAGAGGAAGAGCCAGGATGCTTTGAAGAGGCCGATGCTTCCCGAGGAGAGGCTGCCTGCCACCACTCCTGGCACAGATTTCTATGTCAATCACGGCTCTTAACTGCAAGCTGTAGATGACAACTGTTGATCTAAGCAGAAGAGATTAAGAGATTATGACACACCCAACTTGATGATGTCAGCATAAAGCTGGTATTTCTTCTCTCAGAAAGCACCAAAGCCAACTAGGAAAATAGAGAAGACAAGCCCACCCTAGTTGTAAGGAGGAGGCATTGATGTCCCAACCCATACAACAGTTGACGGTGCGGAAGCCAGCAGGGATTGGATGGGAGGAGAATGAAGTAAGGAGGGGCTGTCCTTGGTTGTAGATCTCTGGGAGGACTGATAAGTCCCCTTCTCCACGATGCAGATACAAAGCCTGTGCTAGCCCCGAGAAGGTGAGGGGAAGTGTGGCAGCTGGAGCCTGCATGGGAGTTTGGTTCTGGGAAGCAGAGTGTGGCGAGGGGACAAAGACTCCACCACCCTGGCTGGAACTCCTCTGTGGTGGGGGCTGTGGTGACAGGGACGTTGCTTTGAGAACATTCCTACAGCTTCCTTTCTCTCTGACTCAGGGATATAAAAGCTGAAGTTTGCACATCCAGCCTTGGGCCATAAGGAAAATCCTGTTGCTCTGAAAGATAATTATGTTTCATCCTGCATCATTGACACTGGGGCAGATACCTGGGCCGGGAAGAACCTTATCTTCAATGAGTTTCAAAGTGGGAATTCGCATGAGAGCTGTGTAATATCACACGATACAAAGAAGCAAAGAGCCGGTAGCAGGTGCACTTGAAGAACCCACGCCAAAATGCTTTTTGCCAGTGAATTTTCTCAAATATTTAAGTACTAAAAATACAAAAAAAGCAATCACCTCTATAAAGAAAGCCCAAAGCCCAAAGTAGAAAAACGACCTTATTGAGGAGATAGTCAACAGAAGGATTGAAAAATATCAGGCAAGGGGAGCCTGCCTCGTTCAGTCTGTGGAGCATGTGACTCCTGATTTCAGGTTTGTGAGTTCAAGCCCCACATTGCGCGTAGAGGTTACTTAAAAATAAAATCATTTAAAAAAAATCAGACAAGCCCATGAAAGAGTGGAAAGTAAGTCATCACAGAAATAATATTAGAAGCAGGATATGAAAGAATAAACACTCCTAAAATTTTACACACCTCTGAGAGGCATAGACAAAACATGTAGGGAAGTAAAATGGAATAAAGCATTAAGAAAGTGCAAAGAGAAATTCCAAAGTATTGAAAAACACACCAAAGAACACCAACCAAAGCTAAAGGTCCTTCAAAGCTGTAAAAAACAAACAGGAAGAACTTCACAGGACTAAGTAAATATTGTGGCCATAACTGATAATCCATTCTATTCCCTTATCAAAGGCAAGGAGTTTCCACCTGGACCACAAAGCAAGCCTGAACTCAGTAATGTGAATAAGAAACACACTTTACAGCGATGTGAGGCAGATGGACTCACAACCAAAAGGTTCACAAGGAAACCCAATGAATGCAAAGAATCTCTAGGCTGCGCTCATGGTCCCTGTCGCCACTGACTTCAGGGACGGGAGCCGTGGTTGAGAAACAGCCAGCTTCTTACGACAACAAGCGGCATTCTCAACGGAGCTGGGTAGATGGGACTATCTGTCCATCAAACAGCACATCATTAACGTAAAATGCAAGGGAGATGGGCTAAATGAGCTTCTAGCTATTTCTGTCTGTTCATTCGGATGAGCCCGACACAGAATAATTCCGAAACCTGAAGTGACAGATTCGCCCATGCAGGTGTGACGTGTATACTGAGAGTAGACCGTATAAATATTCAAATACTCACGGGGTGGTCACAAATTAACTCATTATAAAATAAATCTTAATACACTAAATAAAACAAGAATGCTGCAGGCAACGTTAACATTCTCAAATTATAGCAAATAATAATAATAATACAATAAAAACTGCTACCCTCCAGTGATTTTTAAAAATCTCTCAACAACTGGGAAGAAAGCAAGCAGACAAGGGCTTCAGAGTCAGTGGGTTGCAGCTGACGCAGTGCTCAGAGAAATGAGCTGATTTTTTAAGATACTATATTTATTTGAGAGAGAGTATGAGCAGGGGAGAGGGGCAGAGGGAGAGGGAGAAGCACACTCTCTACAGAGCCAGGAGCCCAACGTGGGACTCAATTCCAGGACCCTGGGATCATGACCTGAGCCTAAGGCAGATGCTTATCCGACTGAGCCACCCAGGCACCCCAGAAATAAACTGATTTAATTTTTTAGGTTAGAAAACAAATAAAAACAAGTAAATTAGACATCCCCATTCAATAAGGAAAAGAAGAGCAAAATAAGGGAAGCAGAGAAAAGGACTTGGTATGGATAAGAGGAGATATGAATTACCATTAAATCTATAAACTATTAACAAAGGTACGCCCCTCCTGCCTCTCCTTCTTGTGTTCTCTGAGTGTGGCCCGCTAGCCCCACCGCGCCAGCCGCCTCGGTGTTTCCTCCTTTCCTGTCCAGAGTGCATGTGACATTCGTGCTTTGCATCCAGGATCACAAGAGAGCTCCCTGCACATGGCCAACCCAACCAGTGAGCTGATGGGACCTTCAGCTTCACCTGGGCCAACCTGCTCTGTGTCAGAACGGGGGACTCAGAAAGTGAAGTGGAAAGTGCCAGGACCCCGCCCGGCCCATCCCTGGCCAGGACTCAGTTTTGGCCTCAGCAAAGTGATTTAGGTAACCCAGCCCTGAATAACTGAGACTTCCTCTCCACAGGTTTCTGCAGAAAGAGTGCCAACTTCTGGCTGTGCAGGTCCCTGCTCTTTGCTGCTCTCCTGGGCTTCTTCAGGTAAGATGTGGGGGGGGGGGCGGAGGGAGTGGTCCTGGGGTCCCGATGGCAGGGTGGGATTTATTATGGCGTATTTGACAGATAACACCTTTTTTCCTTTTTTAACCGCATTTCCTTAGTTTTAAAGAAACAGTAAAGTTTGTTTTAAAACGTAGTAAAATTTCGTCCCCTTAAAAAAATAGAATCGAGTGGATACTTTTTCAGTTCAGCCGGTCTTACCCCACAGGGTGAAACTGTCCCTAGCCTCCACTTCACGGTGGATGCTGACTGTTTGAATATATAGTTCAGACCACAAGAAGGCATTTGCGGTTAGTGGTTAAGTTTTAGAGCTATACACGTTTTCACTGATGACCTTTGTAAAGAAATTTGTTAGTGGGGCGCCTGAGCGGCCCCATCAGTTAAGGGTCTGACTCTTGGTTTCGGCTCAGGTCATGATCTCAGGGTCATGATCTCAGGGTCATGAGATAGAGCCTCATGTCGGGATCCACGCTCAGTGGGGAGTCTGCTTGAGATTCTCTCTCCCTCTCCCCCATCCCTCCCCACACCACTCACACTCTGTCTTTCTAAAAAAAAAAAAAAAGAAATTTGTTAGAAGGAGCTTCCATTTATTGGATTTTTATTCTGTGCTAGGCACTGAGCAAAATGCTGATGGACATTCTTGCACCTTCTCTCGACAACCTATAAGATATGCATTATTATCCCCTGAGAAACCGAGGCTCCAGAGGTCCAGGTGACACCCAGATTCCAAGGTAGGAAGTGGCCAGGTCAAGATGCAGACCCTTCCAAACCCACTTCCCAGGCTCCTGTGCATCTCATCTCAGGGCTGACAGTCCAGCCAGTGCATAATTTGGAAAACGATGTTCTTGTGCGGTTGGACAAATCAACACATTGACCTAGGCAGGTGTTTACTGAGCCTGGTGCTCCGGGGGTGGGTGGGGGGTGTGGACATGTCGCTGTCAATGGGACAGCCCCCTGTCCTGAACAGTGTCAGGTCTGGAAGGGGGAGTAGGCAGGGGATAGGCTGTCACGCGAGTGGATAGAGGGTTTCCTGGATCTCCTGGGTGGAAGACCCCCCTTGACCTCCCAGAGTTGGAGACTTGCCGGGGCTTCACAGAGCAAGTCTGCTCTAAGCAACAAGTGCAGCCCCTTACATATGGAGCAGAGACGGGGGCTGGGGCGGGGTGTGACATTGCAGGTGGTCTCTGCCCACTACGTGGGGGCTGCCGACCTGCAGAGGCACCTCCCGAGCTGCCGTGCTGGCCTCCTGGGGCCCGGCCCCACTCCAGAGCTTGCCTGTGTCGTGCTGTGGGCCACGGGGCTGAGCTGGCTCCACGGGCTGTCCCGTAGATGAGCCCGGCTCCACCTGACTTTGTGCAGCAGGAGAACGCCGTTCTCTGAACGCAGCCCGTCCCAAAGTCTGATTCTGAGAACGTGTCCTCACCTTGCATGAAAGTATTCTTCCTCGTATCATAAGGACCCCAGGGAGCGCCGAGAGTCTGTGGCACCTTCCGTGTCATGCCTTCGAGTATTTGGAGCCACCTGTCACCGTGCCCTGCAGCTTCCCTCTGTGACCCAGTCTGAAACCCCTCACCCCGTCTGGCCTGACCGTCTGTTACACTCAGGTGCCCAGAGTGGTGGCCCGACGGCTCTGGGGTTGGGCGTGAGGGGTCTGGTGTTGGAGGTTGGCGTTCGGGGGTCAGGGGTCAGGGGTCGGGGTTCTGGCCTCTATTCTCGATCTAGATCCCGTGGTTCTTTTGACTTACTCATCCAGCACCCTCTTCCTCTGCATTGTTCTGTGTTTACATCTCATTTTATCTTCTTTTCCCCTCATTTCGACATACCTTGGATTGCCTTTTTAATTTTTTTAGACTGATAAATATTCAGAACCCAAAAGATTCATCTGATTATTTTCTTCTTGGTATAAATTTTCTTTTAGAGCAGATTATTTTTCTCCTTGGACGTTGCCTCCTCACGTGCTCCTTTCATAAAATTTTTGTGGATGTAGAATTTTTACATGTTTTGTTTGAGTATAACTTAAAAATCCCATCCTGATGTGAGTAAGCCTATATGAGCACCTTCAGCACTTTTCAAAAGCTCACAATAGGAGCTCTTTTTTCAAATGAACATTTAAATTTTAAAAGATGACCTCAATGTGCAAAGAGTGATTTAAAAAATCTCTCGCTGCCTTTTGTTTTGTTTTGTTTTGTTTTAATTGACACAAACCAGGATAAGTCCTAGGACAGAATTCATCGATGGGCAAAATTATCTTCTAATTTGGCAAAAGGAAGAAGTCCCCCACAGACGGAGCCCCAGACTTAGCTACATCGCGTTTTTGGCTCCCCAGGGTTCTGCCGCCAGGCTCCTAGGGCTGTCGACACCTCTTCTGTCTGGTCTGTGCCCATCGGGGCCCCTCCTTCCTCACCAGTGCCTGCTGGAGAGTGGTGTCACCAGGAGAGGTGGTACCTACAGGGGTGAAGCCGGGGAGGGGCCATGACGTGAAGTCTGTTCTGGACGATTTGAGTTTGAGGAGCCTGCGGACCTCCAGGGAGCGGTCTGCGTGGAAAGAGAGAATGTGAGGTATCCGCACATGTGGGTTGCTGCAGTCTGAGAGCCAATGAGGTCATGAGGAGGTGGGCAAGGTCGTGGGGGATGCAGCGTCCCGTGTTCTCCCCGTGGGTCCCCCTGTGCTGGCACCATCAGCTCAGCTGCATTCATGCATTCACCTCTGTCTTGCTCATGCGTTCACTCCCTACACACCTGTGAGGCTCCAGCCTGGGTACCTGGGACCCCGAGGAGATTCAGGCACTGTCCCTGCCCCGAAGGTGGCAATGTGGGGGGGGCTGAGGTTAGATGCTCACACCCTAACCCAAATCCCACCCACGCTGCAGGGGGGAGACCACTTCACAGGGACACACAGAAGCTTCCTGGAGGAGGGGGTGCTTATTCTGGGACCAGCAGTGCTTGGATGGGGGAAGTCAGGGCAGGGGAGGGTAGGGCAGGAGAGCTAGTCAGCGTTACATCACACACCCCCACCGTGTCCCCAGTATTCATTGAGCGAGCGGTCGAGCCACAGGTAAGACTGTGGTTTCCTCCCTGCTCTGATGCTCAGCAAGCGAGCCACGGAGCTTGTGACCTGCCCTTCGGCTTCTGTTCTCTATGTGACGGTGTTGTTAGAAAACAGGAAGGAGGCAGGGCTCTGGACTTCAGCGTGTCCGCAGATCACCCGAGGAGCTTGTTAGGAAGAGAGATTTCTACACACACCCCTCCTCACTGCTCAGGGCTGTGCAGGGGGTCTGGAACCGCATCTAGGTGAATCTGATGCCGGGGTCCCCATCCACGCTATTGGTTACTATGGTGATGAGATTGTGTTACAATGGTCCGGTTGCCTGGCAGGGATGGGGAGGGGGCAGTGGGGCTCTGGTTGGGCCCCATGTCTATTTTCTCAGGAACCAGAGGCCAAAAGGATCGGAATATGTGTGTTAAAGTCTCAGCCTGTCTGTCCTCCTGCCCAGCGAAGACTCAACTTCACACTCTTGTTTGTCCCCCAGCAATGTTTTCAGCCTGATTCCCGGATGGGGGCAGAGAAGAGAGTCTCAAAGGTAATGGCGGAGTCTTTGGAGTCAGGGTGGTTCCTTCTAGAAAGATCTAGAACAGAAGTAGAAATACACGTATGTATTGAACTGGAGATAATTATAGCCAAAGAGATACTCAGTTACCAGGGTGACTCCAAGCTCCTCCCTCTACTATGCTTTCTCAAACCTTGCCAAGGACAAGGCAGAGCTGTGACCTCTGTTGGAGAGGACACGTTCACAGAGGTGACGGACTGCCCAGCAGGCTGCACGGCAAGGCCGGGCCTCGGGGAGGGATGGCGCGTGGCGCTGGTTCCGGGTCCCCTCCAGCTGCTTTGATGGGGCCAACCGGGGATGGGGTGCCCTCTGATCCCAGGAGGGCCCAGGCCGGGGGAGGCCCAGTTGTCCTCTCAGAGCTAATTTCTTCCAGGGCCAGGCCTCTCTGGCCAGCCTGCAAACAGGTGAGATGAGATCTCCTAGCCAGTGCGGCGGGGCACAGCCTGAGAGCCAGATCCTGACCGCAGTTCTCCTCCCTCTGTCCAGCTGGTTGGACGGACAGGTGGCTCGTGGGGCCATGCTGGCATGACTAATTCCCTCCAGCAGCAGTGACGTTCCCTCCGCCCCCGGCCCCGCCCCGCAGGGCCAAAGGGACAGCCTGCCACTGAGGTCATGGCTTTCACTCCTGGCTCTCCACTCGCCAAGACTGGCCTTCCCGGCCTGCAAGATGGAGGACGGCCCCACCAAGCTTCCTCCGGGAGCCTACCTCCTCTCCTCCCTTCCCCAGGACTGGTTGGGGTCAGCAGGGATGGGGGACTCACCTTTGCCTGGGGCGCCCCCTCTTGAGGACCCGGCACTTTGTTAGCAGTCGCTACTTCTCATGAAGTGACTCAGATGGAACCTTTCCTCTCTGCAGCCAGGATGACTGCTGCGTGGTCCTGCAGCAGATGCTTGAGACAAAGCAGTTCAGGTAAGGGGCGGGGAGCTGGGCTCCCCCAGATGGGAGGGACCTGGCGGGGGATGTTGCCAGAGCTCCCTTGGGATCCCAGGGCCCACCTGGGCGGCCCTGGCTCCTGCCCTCTGGTCTCCGCACCTCCTCCCTGCAGAGAGGGGCTCTCCCCAGGATGTTGTCACCCGCCGGTGTGAAATGCCCCTTAGGCGGAGCTGTGCGCCAAGCTCCCAGACATGGCCAGTGTGTCCAGGTTTCTCTGTCCTGTGTCGGACCCCTGCTCTACTCGCCTGGCCACACGGCCCAAGCTTTGAATCACATGAGGAGCTTTCCTCTGCAGGGGCTGTGCGTGGGTGGCCCTGGAGGAGTCCTGCCTGTGTGGCAGGGCAACGTTTCTCCCAGGACCCGGCCCCGGGCTCTGAGCACTCTGTTTCTCTCCCTCAGTGGAAGCAACTGCCACCTGGGCACCTGCAGAGTACCTGAGGTACCCAGGTATGGGGGACACCTCTTTGGGCTGTTTCTGTGCCTCTTTCCAAGCAAGTGAACATGTGCCTCTCCCCTCCGCTTCCGCATCCCTCCGCCCCTCCCAAGGCTGGTTCACAGGGAGGGAAGAACAAGGGGTCCGGGGAGAGGAGGGTAATGAGGGTCAAAGAAGAACAGGGGGAGACGTTTGATGGTGGGAGTCACAGGGGCTTTCCACTTGACCTCAGGCTTTGTGGCTGCCTCAGCTCAGGTGTGGTACCTGTGGTGGACTCAGTCCCGCCTCCTCAGCCCTCAGCTCAGTGGAAAACTGGACCATGTGGCCAGGGAGGGCATGGGGGACAAAGGAGGCTGCCGGTAGGTGGGGTGGGGGTGGGCGGCGAGGTACATCCTGGCACAGTGTAGGGGCTGGATGGGGTGGGTGTGGGCCAACCCTCATCCTCCCACCCCCTCAAATAAAAGCAGGACACGGGACGGGACCTTAGTCACAATGAGGCAGGAAGGGAGTGAGGTGGGCAGGCAGGAAGGAAGCGGGGAGGAAGGGAGGGAGGTAGGCATGAAGGAAGGGAGGAAGGAGGGAGGCAGGCAGGAAGGAAGGGGGGAGGGAGGGAGGTAAGCAGGAAGGAAGTGAGGTGGGCAGGCAGACAGGCAGGCAGGCAGGAAGGGAGTGAGGTGGGCAGGGAGGAAGGGAGGGAGGGAGGAAGGAGGGAGGCAGGAAGGAAGGAAGGGAGGAGAGAGGGAGGGAGGCAGGCAGGAAGGAAGTGAGGTGGGCAGGTGGACAGGCAGGAAGGGGGGAGGGAGGGAGGGAGGTGGGCAGGAGGGGGGCGGGCGGGCGCCCTGAGGCTGGGTGCGGGCTCCTGGCAGAGCCGGCCATCCTGATGGGGAGGACGGCGCCTTGCAGCTGTGGACACAGACTAAGGGGCTCTGAGAAGTCTCCACTCACTTCTCCCTGACGCACATCTCCTCTGCAGGATGGTTTACGCCAAGGCCCAGGTCCTCAAGCCCACGTGAGTGCGCAAGTCCCTGCTTCGGCCTGTGGTGGCTCCCTGTCCCCGAGGCCTCAGGCTTTCCTTTCTCTCGCTCCTGTCCAGGGCTGCAACCTTTCTGTGCCTTTTCTCTTCCTTCTTTCACCATCTTGCCGTGACCGGGCTCATTTTTAATGGGTCTGGCGCCACAGAGGGCGCCTCTGACTCTTGGTCCCGGGGGCCACGGATGTCCATAGAAGGCACAGAAGCCTCTCTTATCTCTTCATGGGGACGGACGACAGCGGTCTGGGCTGGCTTGGCCCCGAGGTCTTTCCACAGCTGCTGATGTCACAGGGACCGCAGTTCCGAGCCGGTGCCCACGGTCAGGCCTCCGGAGCCAGCGCCCCCGCCTCCTGCTTGTTCTCCCCAAGATCCAGTGGCAGCCCGTATCTGTGGCCTCAGACAGCAAGGTCACCCAGAGGCCTCTCTGATCAGCCCTCGTTGTACAAGCAGGGAAACTGAGGCTCAGAGAAGTGGAGGTACTTGCCTGAGGCCCCGCAACTGGGGCGGGACAGGTCGGGATCCAGCCCAGGCCATGGGACCTCCCTGCCAGGAGAGCTGGAAATGCTGTCGTTTCTGAAACCAGAACCCGCATCTCCTTGAAGTTCTAGAGCCACCAGCCACGGGAGGCCACGAGCACTCGACATGTGACCACTCTGGAGTGAGATGTGCTGTCAGTGGGAAACACACTGGATTTGAAGCACTTAGTCCCCCCAAATTTAAAATATCCTCCCAAATGTAAAATATCCCGTTTGCTGGGAAAGGGGCTTAGTTCTTGCCTCACTGAGCTAGAGCTCCTCCCGGGAAACAGGGCTGGTGGCCTCCTAGAAGGAGTGTCCGTGGGCCCAGCGCCCGGCTGGTGGGGAGGAGACACTCGAAGCGAGGGCAGCGAGGGAATGGGAGTGTCAGGGCTCAGGTGCTGAGCTGATGGAGCAAAGAGCACTGGACGGGGAGTCTGGCATCCTGTCTGCTTCTCGCTCTGCTGCTCCCAGACTGTGAGCCTTTGGACAAATGCTTCCCTTCCATGGCCCACGTGTCCACGCCCCGCTCTAACACGGTGTGCCTCGTTTTCCCCAGGAGGGCCGACGTGCTGGTCACGACCCCCTGGTTTGCTCCCATCATCTGGGACGGAGTCTTTGACTCTACCATTCTGGATGCGCAATTCCAAAATGCCACCATCGGGCTGACCGTGTTTGCCATCAAAAAGTAAGTAAGGTCTGGGCAGCGATGCTGAAGAGGGGCACTGGCCCAGGGGAAACCAGGAAGCCCACCCGCAGTGCCGGGAGGGGGGCACTTGTCACTAGGTGTCGCTCTTTTCCAGGATGAGGTGCTCTCGGGGTGGTGGGGAGGCATGGGTAGCTTGGTGTGCAGGTGAACTTGGTGGGATTTGCAGGGGGCCACTAGGCACACCCCTGCTCAAAATAGCAGCCCCACAGCCGAGAGTCACCTGCTCCAGAGGTCAGTGTACGGACCTTTGAGAGCCATGCAGCCTCCACTGACCACTGATGGGGGCCAGCCGCCGGGCCAGCAGCCGGACCCCACCGCAGCCCTGAGGCAGGTGCTCCGTTGCCCTGACCCATTCCCAGAGACGCCGCCTGAGGCTTCCTTTCCTAGTAGCCACGGCGGGTTCAGCATGTGGCAGAGCTGGATCTGAAGTCTCCAGGTTGCACTGACGGCCTTGGGGTTGGCTTGTTTGGTTTGACAACTGGCTTGTATTTTAGGTACCAAATCTGCATCTTCACGCACGGAGTCGTGGACACCTTTGCACACTGACGCCTGTGGACCTTCCTCGTTCTCTTGAACGGCTGCCCGCTCTTATTCCAGAGGCTTCGTTCCCTGCTTGGGCTGTTTCGCGGCACCCTTACAAGTAACGTTTTATCACGAAAGTTTTCAACTGTGCAGCCAAGTCGCCAGAATTGTACAGTGACCGTGTGGACGCCCACCACCTGCATCCCGCCGCTGACGTTGTTCTTTCTTTTTTCCCCTCATTCGCCCCACTTATTGGCATAATGGACACATGACATCGTACAGGTGTCCCGCGTACAACGTAATGATGTGATGTTGTACACACGGTACGTTAACTAACGTCACCATGCTGCGTGTCTCATTCCCAGAGCTTATTTATCTTCCATCTGGAAGTTTGTACGTCTGACCCCTCACCCATTTCCCCAGTCCTGCACGTCTTGCCTCTGGTTAACCACTTACCTGTTCTCTGCTGCTATGGATTCAGGTTTTCTTAGAGTCCACATGTAAGTGAGATCGTACTGTGTTCACCTGTCTCTGTCTGACTGTCTCACGTAGCATAATGGCCTCAGGTTTCAAGCATGTTGCTGCAGTGGCAGGGTTCCTTTCTTTTTTATGGCCGAGAAATATATACCTCATGCTTTGTTTATCTCGTCATCTGTTGATGGACACTTAGGTGGTTTTGTGTTTCGGCTCCTGTAAGTGATGCTGCGGTGAACGTGGGAGTGCAGGTATCTCTTCAAGATACTGATTTAGTTTGGGGCGCCTGGGGGGCTCAGTTGGTTAAGCGACTGCCTTCGGCTCAGGTCATGATCCTGGAGTCCCAGGATCGAGTCCCACATCGGGCTCCCTGCTCGGTGGGGAGTCTGCTTCTCACTCTGACCCTCCTCGCTCTCATGTTCTCTGTCTCTCATTCCTTCTCTCTCAAATAAATAAAAAATCTTAAAAAAAAAAAAAAGATACGGATTTAGTTTTCTGTCCCTGTCTCCATCATCTATCACTTTCTGTGCCTCCAGAAGTGGGGTTGCTGGATCATAGGGTAGTTCTATTTTTTTTTTTAAAGATTTTATTTATTTAATTGAGAGAGCGAGAGAATGTGAGCAGGGGAGGGGCAGAGGGAGAGAGAATCCCAAGTAGGGTCCCTGCTGAGCACAGAGCCCAGTGTGGGGGCTCAGTCTCCCCACCCTGAGAGCATGACCTGAGCCCAAACCAAAAGTCAAATGCTTGACCAGCAGAGTCACCCAGGCGCCCCAGGGCAGTTCTGTTTTTACCTTTGGAGGGGTCTCCCTACTGTCTTCCACAGCGGCTGCGCCAGTTTGCCTTCCCTCCCAAAGGTGCACAAATGGTCCCTTTTTTCCACATGCTCACCAACACTTGTTACCGCTTGTCTTTCTGACACTAGCCTCTTAACACGTGTGAGGTGACATCTCATCGTGGGTTTGATGTGCATTTCTCTGATGACGAGTGATGTTGAGCACCTTTTCATGGACCTGTTGACCATTTGAGTATTTTCTTTGGTATAATTTCAACTTCTTGAGTTTGCTAAGATTTGTTTTGTGGCCTAACACACGATCTACCCTAGAAAATGTTCCATGTGCCTTTGAGAAGAACGTGTGTTCTGCTGCTGTTGGATGGAACGCTCTACGTATATGTGTTAGGTCCGTTTGGTCTGTAGTGTTGTTCAAACACGCTGTTTCCTTACCGATTCTCTGTCTGGATGATCTGTCCATTTTCGAGAGTGGGTTATTAAAGTCCCCAATCAATATTGTATTGTTGCTTATTCCTCCTTTTTGTTTTGTTAGTATTTGCTTTATGAGTTAGGTGCTCCGACATTGGGTGCATAAATATTTACAATTGTTATTTCTTCTTAATGGATTGAGCCCTTTATCATTATATAATAACCTTCTTTGTCTCTTTTGATCATTTTTGCTTAAAGCTTGCTTTGTCTGATATAACTATGGTTACCCCCCGTTTTTTGGGCCACTGTTTGCTTGAAATATCCTTTTCTCTTTCTTTGCTCTTCCTCTGTGTCTCTAAAGCTAGAGTGAGTCTCTCCCAGGCAGAATATTGTTGGATCTTTGAAAAAATATTTATCCATTTAACCATTCAGTGTCTCTCGACTGGAGAATCCTTTTACATTTAAAAACGTCTAAGGTAATTATTGAGAGGTAAGGACTTACTATGCCATTACGCTCACTGTTTTCTACCTGTGGACCTTTGTTGCTCACTTCTCATCTTTAGCTTTGATGCCTTTATCATGATCTTTTTTGTGTCTATTTCAGGCTTTCCCTCTGTGGTTACTACGGCTTCCATAAACTATCTTCTATTAGTAACCCCCTATGTGAAGCTGATAACAACCTGACTTCAATAGCTTACATAAACTATACTTTTCATCCTCTATCCCTCACATTAGGTGATTGATGCTACAATTTACGTATTTTTAAATATTGTCTTTACGTGAACAAATTATTGTAGTTATGGTTAGTTTTTATATGTAACTGTTGATCTAGAGTGGTAAGTGACTTATGCACTGCCATTACAACATTAGAGAATCTGACTTTGACTCTATGTTTACCATTACCAGTGAATTGTATAAATGTATTAGTATGTTCTTATAATATTAATTGGAACCCTTTTGTTTCTGCTGGAAGAGTTGGATGCCCTGTAGCATTTCTTGTAAGGCATGTCTGATGCTGATGAACCCCCTCAGCTTTTGTTTGGGAAAGGTTTTATCTCTCCATTTCTGAAAATCAGCTTTTCTGGGGTAGTATTCTTTCAATATTTTAATTTTTGTTTATATTTTTCAGAGAGAGAGAGCACGCACATGAGTGGGAAGGGAGGGGAGGAGGGAGAGAGAGAAAAATAAGCAGGTTGGATGAGGGGCTTGATCCCACAACCCTGAGATCATGACATGCATTGAAATCAAGAGTCAGACACCCAACCGACTGAGCCATCCCAGTGCCCCAATATTTTGAATATATTATCTCACTCTCTCCTAGCCTGCAAAGTTTTGTTGAGAAATATTCCCATAGTCTTATGAGAGGGATTACCTTATATGTGATGACTTACTTTTGTTGCTACTTTGAACTTTTTCTCCTTGTCTTTGACTTTTTTTAAGTTTATTTTTTTTTTAATCATCTCTGTACCCCACGTGGGGCTCAAACTCATGACCCCAAGATCAAGAGTCCCATGCTCTTCCAACTGAGCCAGCTAGGCACCCTCCTTGTCTTTGACTTTTGGCAATTTAATTATAATTTCATATAATACAGAGAGATTATATAATTATATAATTATAATCTCTCTGTAGCCCTTTTCAGGTTCAAATTATTTGGGGTCCTTTGAGCCTTATGAATCTGGATGTCCATGGCTCTCATTTGGGAAGTTTTCGGCCATTATTGCTTTAAATATATTTTCTGTCCCTTTCCCTTTTTGTCCTTTTGGGATTCCCATAATGCATACACTATTTCTTTTCAGGGTTTCCCATGAGCTTCATGGGAAGTCCATAAGCTTCACGATTAAATTTTATTAAACTGGCATGATCACTAATCTACCCATCTGGTCATCCTTCTGTCCATCTGTCAATTCATATTGCTTTTGATATATACGAAAGTAAATCTGGGACATCAGCACACGATCATCAACTAGAGTTCAAGATGTGTTTATGCTTTTTCTTCTTCCCAGGTAAAATGTGCATACGAACATTTGCTGAGTTTTGGCAAATGCATATAGTTGTGTAAGCAGAATCCTTTTCTACTCATAGGACATTCCCACTACCCCATAAAGTTCTACTGTGCCCCTTTCCAGCCAAGCCTCTCCCTCCTTCAGCTCCTGCATCACTGTTCTGATTTTTTTCCACTCTAAGATTATTTTTGCCTACTGGAATTGTAAATTACATACTGTTTGGTCTTGTCTTTTCTCACTAAGAATCATCATTGGAGATTTATCCGTGATTCTGCATGAATGAGTAGCTCTTTTTGTTGCTTAGCATTCCATCATATGGGCATACTCTAGTTGGTTAATCCAGTTTCCTTTCAACAGACCCGTTTCCAGGTTTTGGATATTATGAGTAAATATGAATTCTGTTGAACAAACCTTTTGTGTAAGTACAGTATGTTTTTTCTTTTTTTTTAATTTTATTTCGTTATGTTATGTTAGTCAGCATATATCACATCATTAGTTTTTGATGTAGCGTTCCATGATTCATTGCTTGCGTATAACACCCAGTGCTCCATGCAATACGTGCCCTGCTTAATACCCATCACTGGGCTAACCCATCCCCCC